AGATGGCCGGCGCGCCTGTGGAGCGGTCGAGGGTGGTCTAGGTATATATATCTATGGCGCAGCTCATCTCCTGTCACTCATCCGGGTACTTCAGCTGAAGGCCTTTATCTGATGAATATTTATCGCGTCTTGCTACTGTTGCTTGGGAACCTTAAACTTAAGGTAATTAATATTCAATCAAGAAGACCCTGATGATCGGATCGGAACGCAGCCCAAGACCCAAACCTTCGCCCGCCATTTCAACGTGTACGTCAGCACACGTCACATATCTATGATGCAGATATTTCTATTTCTTTTTACAGTCAATTATTGGGTAACCTTCTACACATGTAACATAATTAATGATTATGAAGCCTTTTATCATAATAGGATAGGAAATTTGCAGAGGATCATTGTTTGATTGGCTACGTTATGCCACCTTGTGGATGGAATTATAATTTAAGTAATAATTTAGTAGTTCATTCTTAGTAATTTTAGTACGTTTTTTAACATTATTTAATGCATTGCGATTGCGAACTAACATGAACAAACAATGAACAATTATATTCTTTACTAAATAACATTATCAAAGGTTAATAAAGCTTTAAAAAATTATATTGTTCATTGGTGGTTCATGCAAGTTAATGCATTTACTAATGTTCACAAATGGGACCTTCTTGTAAAGTGTTACCAAAACAATAATACTAGACAAGTGATTGTTTTCAATTATTATTATTACTTTGGTGAGTTAACCTACCCAAACAACCCTAATCCTTCACTGATGAGTGAGATATTCTTTTAATAGGAGGAGACGTGGTATTGTTAAGACTAAGAGTCAAGGGTATAATGCGATTCAGAAGTTTTTAAATTGTAAGAAGTCTTTGAATTATGAACTATAGGTTATTTAGATTCATTAGCATTAAAATATTAGATTGTATGGGTTTGAAATCAGATAAAAATTAATGGCCAGTGATATCAACGTTTTCAGTGATCCAGTGTCCAAAAGACTCATCAAGAATGCATGAGAATAGCTCCTGTAAAAGAAAATCAACCAAACAAAATCAAACTTATGTTATATCTTTGATAATAAATTAAATTGTTAAAAGGACAATGTTCCACTTATTCAGGGCTGTTTAAAATCTGATCTTGCTTTCCATGCCATGCTAAATAAGTACAGGTCCTGCCCAAACCTTACAATAAACCAAACAAAAGCTGGACATTCTGTTTCTTTAGCAGCTAAGAGTGATGAGTATTTATGTTAGTGTTTAAATGTTTACCAGGCAGTACTTTGAGACTTGGGTGGTGTCGAGAAGATCATTATATGAATAGTTCCTGTCAACAAGTGAAGAGTCACCAACTCATCCCCTCAGTTTTCAAATCTACTACGGCCCACCAGGCGGATAAGGTTCAGCGAGTTCCTAGCTTTAAGTTCCTGGGACTGACTGTTACTGAAGACCTGTGCTGGGGCATTAACACCACCTCAGTTGTGGGAAAGGCACAGCAACGCCTCTTTTACCTAAGGGAACTGAGGAGAGCTAAACTCCCTAAGCAGCTTCTGGTACATTTTTACCATTGTGCCATTGAGAGCGTGCTGACCTATGGACTATTGGTGTGGTTTTCCAGCTGCACTAAGGCCGAACAGCAAGCCCTCGAGAGGCTGGTGAAGACAGCGGGAAGAATCATAGGGACTAACCTACCGGAGATTAATAACGTTTACACCACCCGCTGCCTGCGGAGAGTGCATAACATTCTGCGAAATCAGTCGCACCCAGCGCATCACCTGTTCCATATGCTGCCCTCAGGGAGACGATACCGGGCCTTGAGAGCAAGGACCACTAGACTGGCCAACAGCTTTTATCCCAGAGCTGTGAGACTGTTGAACGAGCATTGCTCTAATTTACATCTCTAATAGTTGGGAACTGGTGTATGCAGGGACGTGCACAGGGGGGTTGCTCAGGTTGCCCGGGCAACTGCCCATATGCCCTTCTCGACTCAGGTTGCCCTTCCGAAAAAAAAAAGAAAGAAAAAAAAACATTTTTTAGGCCTAGATAAAAGAATTTCACGTAGGCCTAGATAAAAAAAAGAAATAAAAAAAAAAATCGCAAAGCCTCATTCACTTCCATTCGGGCACTCAGCTCAACTGTTTACGTGGCTGCAGCGCTGCACGCGACCGGTGCGTAAGACCCCGCAAATTACTTAAGGCCCCGCCTCCATCTCGTGTCATAGCGCGTCAATTAATGTGTACAACATCCATGACAAAATAAAGCGAAACTATCCTTCTGGTCACGAAAAGAGGAAGAATAAAAAAACCATGAGAGTGAATTGCGGGAACAACAATCAGGTAAACTTGTGTTCTCTCCTCTCTAAGTTTGATGTCAGCAAAGTTTGATGTTTTTCGGTCTTGCTAAGCTAGCTGGGCAGGCAGTGCATCTCTTGCATCACTTTGTGCCTGACAAAAGTGAGAGTAAAATACAATTATTTATTACGTTTGTTTTTGATAAACGACAAAGTGCAACGGTGTTTGTTTACTGCAGCTCAGAAAACATAACCGCGTCGCGTGTGTTATCCATGGTGTTATCATGCGTTCATATGCGCGTGCACGAAGTGAAACGTGCATTTTTCAAGCAGAATATGTGGAGACCAGACATACTGTACAATACATGCACGTGAATGATGGCACTCCCAATCAAAGTACACATTATACGTTTAAAACAAGACACTGATTATCTCAGTGTATCAGTTGGGACAGTGATTGTCTCAGTGTTAAAAACTCTAAACAACCGCACTAATTATGCAAGATAGAAAGCAATGTATTGACAATTTGACATTGATTGACTATTGATTTATAGGCTATATTGAATTTAAAATGTTGATTAGCTGGACATACTGGTCAATATGGATGCACATCCCTCAGTAAATAATAACCATAAATCAAGAATTGCTTCAACATGCATAATAATAAATAAAACAATCATACTGATGCCGAAAATACCCAGGCTGTAGAGAGAACCAAAGTTAATCCCAAAAGCCAAAGCTCAGGGTTATAATTTATTATTTTCTTCTTATTTATGTTTACGTTAATGTTCACTTGTTATCTTAACATTCTATAGAAAATACTCTATTCAATAAATATTGTTTGTTTGAACCTCATTCTGTTCTATATTGTTGTACTTATTCTTTGACTGTTTTGTTTAAAGGAGGGAGGATTGTATGGGAGCACTGAAGTGTCAGGTGTGACTGTGTGGCAATGGCAAATGGTTTACATAGCTCACGACATCACGGGACAGGTACAGGACCCCTTAGGGCCCCAGGGGGAGGTCAGGATCGGCACTGGGTTTAGCAGTCGATTCTGTTCCCTACCGGAATTCCTGTTCCTTTTACGCAATCATACTACAAATCATGCGTAGTTGCCCGTAGCCTACCATCACAACTGAATACGAGCAAGAAGCACAACTGAATGTACGGGAAGCCAAAAGGTTAAAAAAGGATTGTATTTTTTCCCAAAATCTAAGCGTTGTTTTTTTTATTACAAGCGAGTTTTTCCATTCAATCCAGATTATTTCTTTTCAAATAATTTTTTTTCCCCTTTTTTCAGGTCAGAGCAACTGCCCCTCAAAATTCCTGTGCACGTCCCTGGGTGTATGCATTATGCACATGTATGTATAAGACAAAATGGATTGCACTTTTGTAGACTTTTTTATTGCACTTATATTGTAGGATTCTCTGATGTTATTTCGTTGTTATTTATAACAATGACAATAAAGAACAAATACAAATACCTCAAAATTGTACTTAAGTACTGTACTCAAGTAAATGTACTCCGTTACTGTCCGGCTCTGGGAATCAGTAAGACGTGTATAAATTCTATAGTTAATACCGATACTGAAACATTCAAGGTATAAGTTGCCCCCTAACAAGCTATACAAGTACGTAATGCAAGATTGAGTCCTGAAATGCAAACTAAAGCCAATCTGAGAAGAGACAACCAATCTTAATTACTCGATCCAAGAAGAACAAAATCTGGAAAGATGAGATTGTCTCTTCTTGTTTTTATTCTTGCTTGCTGACAAGGCAGGATGCTTAGAATTGCAATGTCATACAGCCAAAAAAACTTCAAAAGTTGATAACTATCGAGGAGAGACCAGTAAAAAAAAATATTGTGAAAGACAAGTATATTCAAAATGTTGTTAATTGATGACTGGAGTTATTTTGGCACAGGTTAGCACAATGTAAAATACCAATAATCCTTTGTGGATTGGTCACCTGAACTGTCTGTAAGTTTTGCCCACGTGTGCTGTGAATCTTTGAAAACCCCTGAAACGGACTGAAGTCCATGGTGTCATAAAGCAAGTGACGATGACCTCTGGTGTTGATCAGATGGAACTGATGCTATGGTATCGCTGTGTCTCATATCCATGTTCACACCGGGTCTTATGTAAAGGATGACCCGCAGAGGGTAACGGGAGGCGCTTTCAACGCTTCTAGTGATAGACTCCATGACCCAACATACCATCAGAGAGAAGCCCTTGCTCATGATCCTCATCGCATTCAACATTGTAGTGCCATGACATGTAGGATTGTTTGCCTCTATGCCAATTTGGTTGAATGTCAACGAAGAAACATTTAGGCCACATACAAGAACAAGAGCTTACAAACACAGATGTCTGAAACATCTTGCTGCTGTATTCCCATGACAGTACAGACGTCTGGTAAACAAACCTTCAGATAAATGTTGCAATACATTAGTTCATTTGAGCCCCTGTCCCTGAGAAACTCTCTGCACATCTCTGTTGATCATGATCATTGATGATCCAAAAACAAGCAATTCTCACATTTGTTTGTCGTTTATTAAAAATTCATATATTAAGTACAACAAACATTCAAACATGAAAAAAAACAAACATTATGAGAGTACTTTTGAAAATGTACATCAAAACAGGGTTTGGTAATGTAATCATTATGATTACAAATGGATTTTTATTCCTGTTTTTTAAGTTCAATATTTCCTACTTATTGCAGGCATTTGGTGTACTTTTAGTACATGCATAAATTGATTGACTTCTTGGGTGCACTGCAGCATGGGAACAGTACCTCTCTAAAAATGTGACAATATCTTCTTGATACCAACAGTCTCCAAACTTGTCCAAAGGTATCCAACCAGCAGTCACTGACAACCAAAACGGTTCTCCAGTTTACAGTTTATTACTAAACACAACTTTATCAAAATGTAAAGTCTTTCATAGACAAGTCTATGTAAATATTAGCAATCATTAAGGATTTGGGTGTTTCTCTTCTAGCTGTCTTTTCCATATAAACAGTGTCTTTTATATTTCATCCATGATTAGCTCTGTAGGTAATGCGTCGTCCCAGGTGGTGTCAGGCGTGACCAGTGTGTGTGGTTTCCAGCATCTCCTCATAAAGCCAGCTCTCAGTGAAGTTTCCTGACTGCTCCATTAGCTCAAACAGACGCTTGTACTCATCAGGGTAGACGTCGCCTGTCATTGTGTCGTCGATGAAGCAGAGCTTTGAATTGAGCTCTGATCCACTGCCAGGACTCCATGAGCTTTGGAAGACAGCAGACCAAAGGTGTGAATACATCCAACCAATCATATACGTTTGTTCATTCAGATATTCTAGTTTGTATACAAATACAGGTAATAAACTTACTTGATTTGTTCAATCAATCTGCGTCTCCTTTTAGCAAGGCATTGTTTCACCATCAAAACCAGAGTGCTGCCATTCAAGGGAGTTAGGTGAGAGTTAAACAAGTCCTCACGTGGGGTTATCCGCACCAAACACAGGTTATCACTCTGTGAAGTCTGTGTGTGGGGATAAGGCAAATAAAAAAAATTAAAAATGGAATACTGGCTAAACTTTTGTAGAGGCCATCAACCTCTTTATTCAAGAAATTGGACTTGCAGCGAATGCTATTTTTCTAATATATGTTTATTTTTAAAGCAATTACTAATTGACAGTAAAAAAATAGGTTACATAAGCCTGCCTGTGATTTGTCAGAGGTGTGGTGTGGCGCTTCACGTCCTAGGAGGCCACTTTTTCTCATGGAAATTATAAGTCACCGAGAATTTATTTTTTTTTTTAGTCGTCCATTTAGAATCGTGAGAGAATTGTGATCTCTTCTTTAAACAAAAAAAAGTGATTGTCAATTTATCCAGAATGGTGCAGCTCTAATACATATTACTAACATTACAGACTAAAAGTACACATAACAGACTAATGTTTCTCAGCTCATTTTAAGATAGAAGACATTACCTGCAATTCATTAAGTGAGTGATAAATCTGAGCTTATTCAGTGAGAAAATGAGTTGTATGTCTTTTGTTCAGAGTTCAGACCAATGACTTGTATGATCGATTCAGACTGATTCAAGAAGAGCCACAAATAAAATCCTAAATAAATTGGACAGAAGGATGTGCCTCTCCTGAATCACTAATACAATATAAACAGATGAAGAATCCTAGAGTGACATTACTTGTATGAAAATACTTACAGTGCTCTTAGATGTGGACTTTTTATTACTCCTGCTTATAGTCAGAAAGGACGACAATGGCTCCTGGTAATGAGGATAAAGCAGAAATACAGTACAAACACATTAATAATTGATCAATTATTCCCAGAAAAAGGAAACAACACATAAATAATAATAAAATGTCTCACCTCATGCAGTAACTCAATATCACAGGCCATCTGCCAGAGAACACTGAAAGCTAGGTAGTTCTTATAATCTCTTGGACGGGTCACTAGTTTCTGTCAGAGAAAATAATCATAATTCATACTTGTATCCAACTGGAAAGCTCCAACTCCAAGGGTTAGGTCACCCAAAAATAAATTGTCATTATATATTCACCCTCGTGCCGTCCCAACGTGCTTAGTAAAAGTTCAAATCTTACATGCATAACCGGATGTAATGTGAGTGGTCAAATTACTGAATGGCTGTTTGAAATATTGAAAGAGCCCTATGTTTGTGCAGCCTACTTTGTTTACAGGATAACAGCTGCATTTCTGCTGTTCCTTAAGCGCCATCTACTGTCAGAGAATGAATGAGCATTTTCAATCAGCACATCTGTGTCGAGGTTATTTATGTGCGGATGCTTTTTTGACACTGTGCGCACACAATTTTGTAAATTTTAACCAGCTGATAGAAAAGTATTCTACAAATATCCCATAGTTTCATATCATTTCATTCCATAGGACCTAATTTAAACATCTGGCGGCATAAATTGCTTGGCTTGATTGCTGTCATTAGTTGTTGCCAACCACCTCCAAAACTGGTCATCTTCAAGCTATTGAGAATTTAATTTCAAACTCTCATTTCGCTGGAATTTGCCTTTGCACTGTGACGTACTACAAAAATAAAAAATAACCCTTTAAACTTTGTACATGTGAACTCACCATGTATTCATTCTTGCTGATGAACATGATCAACTCCACACGTCCGTAGCGGTAAATAGAACGGCGCTCAAACAGGTTGTAAATCAGCTTCCACAGTATGCTCTTCTCATTCCTATGAGAGAAGATCCCCACAATCTTCACCGGGACATCTGTTTCAGAAATGGAAAGACAGAAAAAGCATTATTCAAACCACATATTTATGCCTTGCTTAAAAGGATTGTTTACTCTTTCTTGTGCTATTAGTGTCTGTCTTTACTTTCTTTCTTTCTTTTTGGCCACATTAATCTGAATGTTTGGGACACTAACCTGCTGACCAGGGTACCTCAGAGATGGCCAGGTCAGAGAAGAGCTTCTCCGAGTACATGACGGGTGGCTTCATGCTGCCGTGGCCGATGGGATCCAGTTTGAAGAAGTCACAATGAACCAAATCCAGCTGCCCTTCCAGTTTGCTCTCCAGGTCCTTTAAGACCAAGGGTTATTTTAGGGGTATGTGATATGAAGATATTAGTTTGTGAAAGATTCAAATGTCTCCACGATCTGTCTTTACGGTATCGTGCTACGGCACACATTCTATCAGTTGCAGTTGAATATGGCTGTTTTTTTTAAATTATTATCTCTATCGTGGTTACACTCGCGTCACATTGATGTTCTTCATCATTAAGTGAAGGTAAACAGTTGGGAGAAAAATCAGATGCGTGTCAGTATACTGGATTTGTGCAAAAAGTCTTAAAGCAGCTTAATATACCTGCTATTGTTGTTAATATGAATCAAATCACAAAAGAGACTCCTTTTGACAGAATAAGCTTTGTAGCTTTAATAAGAATTGATACATATTTAATTAATGCAGTGAAGAATATGCAGTTTTATTTTTTCATTTGATTATTAAATTATTCAATTTCTGCTGTCTAACAGAATTACTGTTCCTAAATATTAATCATTTTATTTGTATCTTTCTTGAAATCTTTCGCCCTATGGTTTGTATATAACTAAGATAAAATAAAATAATGAAATAAAATAAGCTGAAAATTCAGCTATGCATCAAAGGAATCATTTTCCTTTTAAATTATAATAATATTTCATTTTATGTTCCCCCCCCCCCCCATATTTTTGATCATGTAAATTCAGCCATGGTGAGACTTCTTTTGAATGGTAGTGTACGTTCTATATACATTTATTACAACAAAACTCCCTAACTTGGAAAATAATAACAATTCTTTTAAAAAGTACACATAACAGACTGCGATTCAGTAAGTGAGTGATACAGGTAAATTAAGATAAAATAAATATTGAAATAAAAATAAGGTGAAAAGATTTTGGTCATATCTCTCACCACAACTTTGCCCTGGTCTGTCATCCTTTTTTTCTTTTATGTTTTGTTATTGTTACCTTGTAAGGCTTTATTTTTTTTTAAATAGGGAAATTAGTTTAGCAGTACTGCTCAGTAACTTGCAAAAAAGCCTTAAAAACCAAGATGAAAAAGAATCATGATACAATCTTGGATCGTCGTGATCCTGCATGAAACAATTGTGATATGATATTTCTGCCATATAGCCCACTCCTATGTTATTTATTAGGAAATGGGTCCAGTAATATCTGACAGTGAGTAGAATGAGATAATATCATTTCAGATGTCTACCTGCAGCTCAGGAAGGAAGTTTGCTTCACTTTCCAACGCAACCACTCTTTGAGCCCCACTGTTTAGCAAAGCACGTGTCAATACGCCAGGACCTGTGGACAGAGACAAACCCCACATGAATACATCTACAAATACTGATGCCATTAAATTAGCAGTTGACAGACACACACACCTGGGTTGCACTCAAATATAACAGCTTTCCCGTCCTCAATATCTCCGGCGAGGTGGTCGGTCACGATTCTTGCGAGGGACGGGTCTACGATGAACCGTCTCAGGTGTTTACAGGCTAGGGCTTTCTGCGTGTTCTCATCCACATCGCCCAAATCTAACGGGTCGTACCGACAGAGGGGCCGAAACTGACCCTGCAGTGGCACGGCGACAGCGGAGAGGTTCCTCTGAACGCCTCCTGAGGATAGAGTAATGAGCTCTGGTTTGCCCACCTGAGCCGGGGTCTTCCTTGTGCCGGAGGAGAATGAGTCTGGAGAGCAAGTTCTTGCAGATGTGGACAAAGTACTGTGTTTAGTCCAAGGCAAAGCGCAGGGAGATGCAGATCTTGATGTTCCACAGAGAGGTCTTAAAGTCAGGACAAAAAACCTACATCCTCCACACACCGCCATGATGACCAACAAGCCTGAAATCATATAATATATACAGTAAAATTTCAAATCCAAACCTGAACAGTTTTATGTAACTATAACTTTTCAGTACTTACTGCATTCATAACATTTTACTGTATTGATATATTTCATAGCTGAACTTAACTAGAAAAATGTTATTTAAAAAAACCTGATATTTTCAGTGTTCAAATATGTGTAGGAGGAAGCCTTGATATAAATTATAAACATAGCCATTTAACATTGGCTATATCTGAATATACTGATTAGGCTTAGTTCAATAAAGATATTTAAGTAGGTTTTATAAACATGCCTTAGAAAAAACAATACTTGTGTGCATCTTGAGACAAAACAATGGCACTGACATATTACATGACCATTACATTACGCTTTTGCAGCAAACGTCATCGTTAACTATCTGTCTCTCCTGAACATGCAGATTGTTGCTTATAGATTTTAACCCAAACTAACCTCAAGTTATGCGGTTCTTGTCCACAGGATCTACATTAATGAATCGCATTCAAGCTGCGCAACACGCGCGTCCGTGACATTGAGCCCCGCGTGCTGTTGACCCGATGCTTTCGCAATCCTATTGGCGAGGCGCACTACGTACGTCATGTCGCCGCGACGTCCCAACATCAGCTGATCAGGAGTGCGTCAGATTTGCGCATTCAGAAATTTGTTAATATTTCTTTTTTGTATGTGCAGTAAGCATTCGTCTCAATTTTTCTTTTTAAAACACACAAAGAAATGATAATGAAATTATCTGTTTTGTAGTGAATTTTTTTTTTTTTGAGTTTCAGATTTTTTTCTAACCTGCGCAGTGTCGTGTCAAGTTGACTGTCATGAATACAAACAGGGCATTCATAATGTGTATGTACTGTATGTAGACACATGGACGCTCAGTCTGGGTGATATTTTTATGATGGCTGTGAATATAGAGCGGTTTGTCAGTGAGGGTAAAGGAAATGGTGTGCGTGCTCTGCGTGGAATCAAACCCGGTGAAGTGATCTATTCATGCGAGCCGTTTGCATTCTGCATAGCCAAGGATTTCTTGAAAAACACCTGCCAAAGTTGTCTCAAGAGGTAAGAACACAATTTTTCGAACATGTAGTTCTGTGTTTTTTTTAGACATGGTACGCGATGCCATACAATTATTTTGGAGTAGCCTACCATGTATGTAAATACCATAGTACATGGAAGTACATAGTACCATGGAAGGTTCCAAAATACCATGGTATTGCATCAGTTCTGCTAAAACGATTTTAGCAACAGTCTGTCTTTTTGCTCCCTGTTCTGCCATATGATAATGTTTTCGTTAATATGAAATAAAGAGTTTGCGAAATGCCAATACAACTGTAATGCATGACCTTTCTGAGTTTGACCTTCAGGTGGCGCTGCTGCTCTTTCTCTGATGTTGCTGCACCTTGAGTTAATTTACATGGACTGTTGTTTTTTGTTGGTCAACCAAATGAGTGCGAAATGACGCTGTTTACATACCTAGGATAAAATAATATATTGCATAAAGACTTTAAAGTCCCCCCTTTGCATAAGAAAAATAGCCCTATCTAATATGCACAAAGTTTACTTTTGGCGACGGCAGTTTTAGCTAATTTCGACTCCCAATTAATTGGCAGGATCAATTGATTTTCACTGCGTATCCAATGGATAAATCAGTTTTAGTAGTTATTTATTTATTATTATTTAAAAACTAGTTTGGCCAGTTTTTCAATATATAATGTTTTATGCTGCTTTTGAGGATAGTTTTTTTGAACAGCTGCAGTTTACAGCTGTACTATTAGTTTTTAGTACTATTTAGTACTATGTTCAGAATGTCCTATTATTTTCCTGCAGCATAGTATATATTGTACTATTTTCTGTATGCATAGATTATACATTAAATAATTTGCTTGATTTGAACTTCCATTTCATTCTGATGGTGCAGAATCCATATCCGGAGATAATACATAAATTAATTTTATATAACAAATATTTTAACAATTTCAAGTATTATACGTTTGATAACACTTTAGTTTAGGGTCCATTTCTCACCATTAACTAGTTGCTTATTAGCATACATATTACTATGATATTGCCTGTTTATTAGTACTTATAAAGCACATATTAATGCCTTATTCTGCATGACCATATTCTACATCTCTTAATCCAACCCAATACCTAAACTTAACAACTACTTTACTAACTATTAATTAGCAGTAATTAGGCATTTACTGGGGCAAAAGTTATAGTTAATAGTGAGAATTGACCCCTAAGTTTTTATGGGTTTGACTCATTATTTTTTAGAATATCAAGAGTTTTGAGTTAAGATGGTTGTACATAAGATTTGAATCAAAATTATGGATTTGTTATTGCATAATGCAAACTGTTCCACACTTTGTTTAAAACAAACTGTTTGTTTTTAGTACTATTTAGTTTATACTGCACAATATGGAGTACACACAAGTATTCTATTCTGAACTTAGCCTCTTTATCTCTTTTTTTAGTTGACATAGATGAGTGCACTGCATCTGCATTGTGTAACATGGCCTAGAGAACGGATATATGATCAGTGAAGTTCACAGAAACCAATTACCACCGAGTCAGAACTAATTGACCAGTTTACTCAAGTTGCACCAACAGAACAGCTAAGCATTAATCTGCTCCAAATACACACCGAATTCAAATGATATAAGCCTCGCTTTTCTATGTTGTGCATCAGAAAAACAGAAGTTTGTTCTGGAGAGAGCAGCTGTTGAGAGTGTTTTAATCACCTTCCCAAACATCACTGTCAGAAGTCATTTTGTTGAAGGTTTCTTCTTGTGATCCATTCATCATTTCTATTCATTTTAGACGCGTACTGTATTTTCATTTTCAGAGGTGTGATTTTCCCCTCGCCGAGGAGAAAGAGTGTGTAGGATGAGGCTGTAATGAGATTTCTAGCAGATGTGCTGTGATTTAATTCACACCAGCTTTACATGCCTGATCATCTCTGACACTTTATTAGAATCAATCTATAAAACTCTCAATGCCGACAAATGCTCATGGATGGTGTGTGTCTAGAAAATCAGTAGACCTCAGAAGAGAGTGCCTAAATGTTGATATTTTCTTTATTCTATAAGCTGAGTGAAATTTGGTATTTGTACGGAATTATTACTCAGCTCTCTGGAATCCCTTTTGCTTTGTAAGTTGTTTTGGCGAAATGCATAAATGTTATATATTGTATGGTTAGGTTACTGGGTGTTCTGGTGGTTGCTAGGTTTTACTAGCTTATGTATAGAGTCCAATAGAGTCCAAGACTCTATATTAGGGCCCTGTGATTTCCACGATGCAGAAAATGCAGGCAAAATTCAGAAACATGGAATTTACTGAATAACTCGGAATGTCACGGAATTTGGAAAATTGTGGACGACTAAATCAAAAGTAGGGCTGTACACTAACCCTCAAGTGTCCTTCGTATAGTAGCCCTTAATTGGTCTATCGTATGCACACTTCAGAGGGCCTTTCCAAATACCCACACTTGCAGTCTTTATACTTGACCACTTGTCTACTAAGTTGCATGACGTATTTCCTGTATTCGGCCCAAGTGTTCAAGTAGGCATGAAGACTGCAAGTGTGTGTAGAAGTGTTTATTACCCGTTGCGACACACTTACAGTGTTGCAAAAATGCAAGTGTTTACAGAGCTTTATTTGGATTTTCAATACTTTGCATTTTAAAATAAACTTTTAAATGTAAAGCAGTTGCAAACGTTGTACAAAATACACATAGCCTACTCATCTTTGCACCAATAAAATGACACTTTAACAATTTGTTTTACTACCAAATTACATGTAATATTTAATTAATTTAACTTACAGTGAAATGTTTTCCTCACTATCTCGTGATTTCGGGACATGCGATGTCCAGAACTTCATGCATGATGGGATATGCATTGCTTTGAATACCGGTCCGATGTGTTATTCTAGATAGTGTGTGTTTAGTGTGCGGCATTTTTTAGACATGTGACAGTCTTGCAGCACACTTATTTCCTGTCGCGTGCACGCTCTCAAGTGGCCAAAGAGCGCAAGTGTGGGTATTTGGAAAGGCCCAGAATCTCGCTGGAAGAAGTAGGTCATCGGGGTCATACTTTTTGCTCACTCTTTTATGAGTAGCTAGCTACTGTGAATTCGGACATACTGTACTTCATTTGTCACATACTGTTTTTCACCTACTATATAGTAGGGTAGTAGTATGCTATTTCAGATGCAGCCTCAGTTTCTTCAGCACCCCCAAAATGTGATGCCTTCTTTATCGCTATGTTTGCTAATCTAGACAGTATCATTCATATACACTCACCGGCCACTTTATTAGGTACACCTGTCCAACTGCTCGTTAACACTTAATTTCTAAGCAGCCAATCACATGGCGGCAACTCAGTGCATTTAGGCATGTAGACATGGTCAAGACAATCTCCTGCAGTTCAAACCGAGCATCAGTATGGGGAAGAAAGGTGATTTGAGTGACTTTGAACGTGGCATGATTGTTGGTGCCAGAAGGACTGGTCTGAGTATTTCAGAAACTGCTAATCTACTGGGATTTTCACGCACAACCATCTCTAGGGTTTACAGAGAATGGTCCGAAAAGAAAAAACATCCAGTGAGCGGCAGTTCTGTGGGCGGAAATGCCTTGTTGATGCCAGAGGTCAGAGGAGAATGGCCAGACTGGTTCGAGCTGATAGAAGGGCAACAGTGACTGAAATAACCACTCGTTACAACCGAGGTATGCAGCAAAGCATTTGTGAAGCCACAACACGCACAACCTTGAGGCGGATGGGCTACAACAGCAGAAGACTCCACCGGGTACCACTCATCTCCACTACAAATAGGAAAAAGAGGCTACAATGTGCAAGAGCTCCCCAAAATTGGACAGTTGAAGACTGGAAAAATGTTGCCTGGTCTGATGAGTCTCGATTTCTGTTGAGACATTCAGATGTTAGAGTCAGAATTTGGCGTAAACAGAATGAGAACATGGAACCATCATGCCTTGTTACCACTGTGCAGGCTGGTGGTGGTGGTGTAATGGTGTGGGGGATGTTTTCCTGGCACACTTTAGGCCCCTTAGTGCCAATTGGGCATCGTTTAAATGCCACGGCCTACCTGAGCATTGTTTCTGACCATGTCCATCCCTTTATGGCCACCATGTACCCATCCTCTTATGGCTACTTCCACCATGTCACAAAGCTCTAATCATTTCAAATTGGTTTCTTGAACATGACAATGAGTTCACTGTACTAAAATGGCCTCCACAGTCACCAGATCTCAACCCAATAGAGCATCTTTGGGATGTGGTGGAACGGGAGATTCGCATCATGGATGTGCAGCCGACAAATCTGCGGCAACTGTGTGATGCCATCATGTCAATATGGACCAAACTCCCTGAGGAATGCTTCCAGCACCTTGTTGAATCTATGCCACGAAGAATTGAGGCAGTTCTGAAGGCAAAAGGGGGTCCAACCCGTTACTAGCATGGGGTACCTAATAAAGTGGCCGGTGAGTGTATATGTCACAAGCAAATGCGCACTATGGTCAGAGTGGAATTAGATGCGATTATAGTGTTTATATGCCAGTTTATTGCGATTAAATCAGTATATGCACTTAATTTCTTATGATTATGAGCTTAAGCGCATCAATTTGATTCGAAGTATTGTGTTTAGGGTAAAGTTTAATTGCAATATTGCCTAAATCTCATTATAATCACATTATGAGGGTGCATGTAGAGTATTAAACAGTGGTTCTCAATTTCATGTGTATCAGAAAAATACACTAATATAACCAAATTATGTTTATCTTTCTATTTTTATATTAAACAGCGCAACAGACCCTTTATCACGCAGTTTAGTGCTTTTAATATGACAATTCACAATAATTAAATTAATAACTTTTTTTTATAAATACACTTGGATGTATTTTATACACCTATTTATTGAACGAAAGATTGGATAATTTATATTGTATTTATTTACAGAAGTGTATGTCATCACCTCAGGTCTAAAAGATGAAATGTCTGTTTGTGATAGAGCCGTCATTTGTTGACATTTCTGTGTCGGCTT